TCTCAAGATGGCTACTAATTTTTCCTTCTCAAGTACATACCATGTTTCTCTCTCTGAGTCTGGGTTACCTCACTCAGAATGATATTTTCTAGTTCCATCTATTTGACTGCAAGTTTTATGATGTCATTGTTTATTATAGCTCAGTAAATACCCCATTGTATATATGTAACACATTTTCTTTATCCATTCTTTGGTTGAGGAGCATCTAGATTGTTTCCAGGTTCTGGCTATTACAAAAAAATGCTGCTATAAACATAGTTGAGCAAGTGTACTTGTGGTATAATTGAGCATTCTGTGGTTGATATATTGTGTATTCTAATAAACTTATCTGAGGTTCAGAGAACCGAATAGCCACTAGATTAGTCAGAGATGCCAGAAAATGGTGGCACACAAGCCTGTAATTCTATCATTTGGGAGGCAGAGATCCATCTGGGTCTCTGTGAGTTCATGGCCACACTAAGAACAGAGTCAGGTGTGGTGGTACACATTTATTCCCAATATTTGAGATCTCATGTCTTTGCCTGGGAAAGACATCTTTAATCCCAGGAAGTGATGGCAGCAAGCAGAAAGGTATATAAGGCATGAGGACCAGGAACTGGAGGCTTTTAGGCTTTTAAGCTTTTAGCAGCAGTTCAGTTGAAATTCATTCAGATGAGGACTCAGAGGCTTCCAGTTTGAGGAAACAGGATTGGCTCAGAAGTTGGTGAGGTGAGGTTAGCTGTGGCTTGTTCTACTTCTCTGACCTTTCAGAATTCACCCCAATACCTGGCTCCCCTGAGTTTTTTATTTAATAAGACCATTTAGAAATTCGTGTTACAGCATCCCTTGGGTATATTCCCAAGAGTGGTATCATTGGGTCTTGAGGTAGATTGATTCCCAATTTTCTGAGAAACAACTATACTGATTTCAAAAAATGGCTGTACAAGTTTGTACTCCCACCAGCAGTGGAGTAGAGTTCCCCTTGTTCCACATACTGTTCAACATAATCTGTCATTAGTGTTTTTGATCATAGCAATTTTGACAGTGTAAGATGGTATCTTAGAGTCATTATGATTTGTATTTCCCTGATGACTAAGGATGTTGTGCAATTCCTTAAATGTCTTTCAGCCATTTGAGATTCTTCTGTTGAGAATTTTCTGTTTAGATCTGTACCCCATTTTTAATTGGGTTGTATGGTATTTTGCTGTTTAGTTTTTGAGTTCTCTGTATATTTTACATATCAGCCCTCTGTCAGATGTGGAGTTGGTGAAGATCTTTTCCCATTCTGTAGGCTGTCGTTTTGTCTTATTTATTGTTTTCTTTGTGTTGCAGAAGCTTGTCATTTTCAGGAGGTCCCATTCATTAATTATTGCTCTTAATATCTGTGCTACTGGTGTTGTATATAGGAAGTGGTCTCCTGTGCCAATGCATTTTATTCTACTTCCTTCTTTCTCCTCTTTCAGGTTCAGTATAGCTAGATTTATGTTGAAGTCTTTGATCCACTTGGATTTGAGTTTTGTGCATGGTGATAATATATATCTATATGCAATTTTGTATATGTTGACATCCAGTTATACCAGCACCATTTGTTGAAGGTGCTTTCTTTTGTCCATTGTACAGTTTTGTCTCCTTTGTTAAAAACCAGGTGTTTGTAGTTGTGTAGATTAATGTCAGAATCTTCAATTTGATTCCATTAGTCTACATGTCAATACCAAGCTGTTTTTATTATGATAGCTCTATAGTAGAGCTTAAAGTCAGGGATGGTAATGCATCCAGAAGTTGCTTTATTGTAATGGATTATTTCAGATGTCCTAGGTTTTCTATTTTTCCATATGAAAAAACAATATTGAGTATTGTTTTTTTGAGGGTTGTGAAGAATTGTATTGGGATTTTGATAGTGATTGCACTGAATCTGTAGATTGCTTTTTGTAAGACTGCAATTTTTATTACATTGGTTCTACCCATCCATGAGCATGGGAGATCTTTCCATTTTTCTGGTATTTTCTTCCTGTTCTCTGTACAGACCTCTAGACCTCTATGGTTAGTGCTGGGATTAAAGGCGTGTGTCACCATGCCTGGCTCTGCTCCCCGGTGTGGTCTTGAACTCACAGAGATCCAGACAGATCCCTACCTCCCACATGATGGGATTAAAGACATGTGCTACCATTGCCTGACTTCTATGTTTACTTATAGTAGCTGGCTTTTTCCTCTGATCCGGTAAATTTTATTGGGGGATGCAATACATCACCACATTTCCCCTTTTTATAAAATTTTAAAAATAGTTATAACTAATATAAGGAAAACTATATACAATAAGTACAATTACTATATACAATATATAAGCTATAAATACATCAAAACATCTAGTCCATTTGCATTTTATAAATTCAGAGAAAATATTTCATTATCTATCCTATTTTGGTAAGTTAAAATGTACCTAATTCACTCACTATCTTACCTATTCCTAACAAAAACTATCTTATGATATAGTTCAAATTTACACACTTTACACCTCTTAGTGAGTTTCTTTTTTGAAATTGTTGACAAGGAATACTATAACTATCCAATCTTCAACTCCCTCAGAGACATAAGAAGGAAATAATATTATCTAGTAAAACAGGAAGTACAAACAAGCGACTTCCAAAAAATATGAATTATGACAGAAACCATACAGAAAGACATCCCACAGCAGCCAATGATTTCCACATTAGTAAAAGGTACCACAATTTCTGATTTGCATGTTCCTGCTAATTGACAAATCTTAATTTTCCTTTCACAATCAATTCAGAAACCTTTTCTATATGGCTCTTTAATTTTTACTCTGTGTGATAAAATTATCCATCTTAAGACATTATCTTCTCTCTGCATTAAAATTCCTGTAGGGGAATGCATAGAAGGTAAAATAACCAGAATATAATCACATTGTGGATCCAAATTATCCACATGTGCATCCTGTAATGTCGTCTCTACCAAAGTCAATTCTCTCTCAGTCTCAGCTGATAATTTTCTTGGACTATTTAAATCCTTATCACTTTGTAAGGTTTAAAATAAATTTAGTTGTTGAGTTGTCAATCCAATTGTGGGCTCTAGCCAGTTAATAGTTTCAAAATTTTCTGGGAGATATTAAGAGTTTGTAATTGCTCTGTCCTAATTTCTACTTTCTGTGGTTGAAATTTTTGTTAACCTATCTTAAATCCTAGGTAATTAATAGAATCTCCTCTTTGTATTTTTCTCAGGGGTAATTTGTAATCCCCAACCAGGCAAAATTTTCTTTACTTCTTCAAACATTTTCTCTAGGGTATCTGCAAATGAATCAGCCAGTAAGCTGTAATTCATGTACTGGTAAATTATAGATTGAGGAAACTGATTACAAATTATTTCCAATGGCTGTTGTACAAAATACTTACACAACATGTTGTTATTTTACATTCCTTTTAGAAAAACATTCTACTGATATCTTTTAACAGACTGGGAATTGTAAGTAGGCACTGTGAAGGCAAATTTTTCTTTATCTTCTTACTGTAATGCTATAGTAAAAAAGTAGTCTTTTAAATCAATCACTATAATAGACCATCTTATAGGTAATAGAGAAGGCAAGGCAATTTGAGGCTGTAAGGATCCTATTGGTTGCATCACCTTATTAATAGTTCTTAGATCTGTTATCATTATCCATTTTCCAGATTTTTTTAATTACAAATATAGGAGAATTCCAAGGACCAGTCATATCTTCAATATGTCAAACATTTAGATGCTCCTGTACCAGCTGTTCTAAGGAGTGTAATTTTTCAAATGTCAAAGGCCATTGTTCCACTCAGACAGGTTTGTCAGTTAACCATTTTAAAGGTAGATCAGCAGCTATTGTGCCCTTTTTATGTACAACCAGAATGGTCAGTGACTGTTCTTTGTAATTCCTTTTAATATTTTCCCCAGAAACATATGTTAGGTGTGGTTTGTTTCTGAAATTGGAGGAATGCTTTAAGTCTATAGTTTGCCATGTGACTTGTGGCTTACCGGTATCTTTACCTCTTGTTTCTTATGGCTGCAGCTGACAGCATCCTTTCTGTTCTGCTTTTCTCCTTTCTCCTCTCTAGTTGGAATGTCCTGCCTAACCCTATTCTGCCTCACCATTGGCCAAACAGCTTTATTTATCAACCAATCAGAGCAACATACTTTCACAGCATACAAAAATCATTCCCCCAATCACTTTCCCCTTTTCTTTCTAAACAAAAGGAAGGTTTTAACTTTAACTGAGTAAAATTACATATATCAAGCAAGAATTACAGTTATTGCTATATTAGCCAATTATGGCTTAATTTTCCTTTCTGTCCTTTCAGCCCTAAACATTCAACCCATCTTGTGCTTTGTGTTACCTGAGATAAAATTCCAATCAGTAAAAACTGAACATTTACCTCCTGAAGAGGCCGATTTGGATGCCAGGATTTTGATGCAATCATTGCTACATCTGCCCCTATGTCTACCAAACTCTCAATTACAATGCCATTTATTTGTATTTTTAACTTTGTCCTTCATCATCAAGAGAAGTTTGTCAAAATATTTGCTTTATGGTTTCTCCTAAAAATTTTACCTTCCAAAACTGTTCTGTCATCCAGAACAGTATGGTTTTCCATAATGGGTATTAACTCTTTTAATTGCTTTGTGAATTAGATTCCCCAATGCTGACAGGGAATGATTCAACCAAATTTGACATTGGGGCCTGTGAGGGACCCCCTATGGCATTTCCTAATGGCAAAGCATTGTCACCCTTTGCCACACCTTCTGCATATTCCAAAAGGCTGGGTTAACTGTTTGGATTCTCTCTAGAAAAAAGATTGTTTCTAGGAATGCCTTACCTACAATCCCTTTTCAGATGACCTGGTTTAAGACAATTAAAGCATCTAATATTTTAATTTTTCTTAAAATTTTTAGAATTTACTTCTTCTATCCAAATATCTTCCTAAGTGTGAGAACCAATATCAGCTATATTTCTAACCCATTCATCTATCTGTGCTGATGTTGCCTTTAAAGGCCTGATCACACTTTTACATTCTGCAATACCAGGTTGATTCGTGGAGTGGATGGAGCAAGCTCCTATTCCAACTCCCAACTCCAAAAACCCGTTTAATACATTGTCCTCGGATAGAGGACGTATCAGATATTAAACTGATAAGAACAGATACTACACTTGATATTGGCCAAAAGGCCGAGAAGCGATACACTTTTACATTCTGAATTAGCATTTCCAAAAGACAAAGATTCAATTAATATGAATCTAACTTCTGAATTTGATATCATTCTATTTACAGCTGAAGTCAACCTTTCTTTAAAAAAAACAAAACAAAAAAACTCAGTGAAGATTTCTTTTGGGCCTTGTATAATTTTAGTAAATGGCTCAGTCTTTTTCCATGATTCTTCAGTTTAGTCCCAATCATCCAAAGCGGCTGTATGACATAACTCCAAAGTGTGATCATCAAATGTAATCTCTCTTTCCACAGAAGCATAATAGTCCTCACCAAGGATTTGATCTTGGGAAATTTCATAACCTGTAAACCTACCTCATTGTTCAATAGCCATAGCTTCAACTCTCCACCAAGGTCTCCACTGTACCTGAGACCAGCTTCCAATACTGCTGTAACTAAATCTTTCCAGTTTTGTAGAATAATTCTGTTCCAAGTGGCCCATAAATTTAACATCTGCTTCACAAAAGGTGAATGCATACCATATAAAACTATTGCTTTCTTAAATCTCTTCAATTCTAAGATTGAATTCTTCAATTTCTATAGCTTTGGGGATGCCTATCATGTGGTAGTCATTCTTGAATGGTAACTAGATAAACTAAAGTTGGTTTTCTAATAACCTTGGGCTACTCCTCTTTAGTCTCATAATGCAAGGATGTGGTGGTTTCTGCTCTGTCTGTGTGTATTTCTTTTTAGTTTCATTAATATGTCTTTCTAAGGATTGTATCATATCAGTTAATTTTTCATATTTGACACCTAAATCAAACAACTTTTAGGCATAAAACATGAATTAGCAAACTGATAGTGATTATAATTGACAGTATGTAAATCCTAGTTAAGTTAATTATTCAGTCTTTTAATTATGCCATTTTCAAACTGTTAATTGTGGAATTATCCAGAGACTTAACTCCCCCCATCATACTGATTGTCATTTTTAGTCAGGGAAAAATACTTCTTTTTTAAATATAATTCCCACCTTTAAGAATTTCCAGTTATCTCACCAAATCTGCTGACAATGACAGTGAAGTGTGAGGCTGGATGTCACTCCACATCACATTTTGGCAGAGAACATAGATTGTGCATAGCCTGGCTGAGGGCAGCTGCAGTTGCTCACATGTAGTTGTAAGCTGAGAGTGCATGGTGGTTGCAACAACAATAGAAGTTGGAGTGGGTGTCAAGGTGGTGACCTAATGTAGTAGCAACTCAAGTAGGGATGAAGGGGAAAGAGCAACCCATAGAGAGAAGGAGCCAAGGAGCCAGCCATTTGAAAAACAAACACAAGGGAAAGTGCAGAAGAAGCACTTGTGGTGGTAACTGCTTGACTGTGGAACTTACCACAGAACCAGTTGTGGGCAGTGAATTCTAGCGTTTGGAGCCCAGGCACCTGTAGAGTGTGAGACCAGGAGATGTTGGGCTGCAGCTGTAAGCTGTTGTAGAGAGGCTGAAATAGACAATTCTAGACTCACTCAGTGGGATTAGAGCAGGAAAGGTAAAGCCAGCCAACAGTGTGGATGCTCTGGCAGTGGCAGCTCTGGTAGCTCTTTTGCCTCTGGGTTTTTCCCATTCTCTTACTTCTGCAAATTGTACTCTTACTCCATGACTTGCTGTGTGGTAGCTAGCCCTTGGTGTCTTCCTCTTTCCCTGGCTACTTCTTTTTCTTTTCAGAGTTCTCCTTCTATATATTCTCTCTGCCTGCCAGCCCTGCCTATCCTTTCTCCTGCCTTGCCATTGGCTATTCAGTTCTTTATTAGATCATCAAGTGTTTTAGATAGGTACAGTAACACAACTTCACAGAGTGTAATAAATGCAACATAAGTAAAAGTTATACACCATAAAATAATATTCCCCAAGCCGGGCGGTGGTGGCGCACGCCTTTAATCCCAGCACTCGGGAGGCAGAGCCAGGTGGATCTCTGTGAGTTCGAGGCCAGCCTGGACTACCAAGTGAGTTCCAGGAAAGGCGCAAAGCTACACAGAGAAACCCTGTCTCGAAAAACCAAAAAAAAAAAAAAATAATAATATTCCCCAACAATATTCAAGAAAGCACAATAACTTTGTGAAAGAATGAACTGATCATAAGAAAAGCCAAAATCAAAGCACAAATATAAAGCGAAGTTTTTAAAAAAAGTGACCAAAGGAAACTCAGTCAGGAAAAATAGGGTCTTGAAAAAATGTTACCCAACTACCTATGATTCTATATGTCGAAATTTAGTGCAAACAGACATCAGAACTCTCACATAATTAACTCAAAGGTGAGCCCTAAACCCTTAGGTTACTGAACCTCCAGCAGGTGATTTTTCTCCCAGAGTTCCCACTCTCTAGAGCTCTCTCTGGACACACAGGTGATCAGAAAGGCCTACTATTGCTCTGCAACCCATACTTCCCCTTGTGGTTTCAAGAAATCCCAGCCCCACTGATTACCCTGAGAAATATAAAGTATGTGTTTTATTTATCAAATGCTACAAAACTCCAAGAACAAGGAATTCAAGCAATTTTAACTCTCAAGCCAGTGAAACATTCATTTGCATGCCCACTTCTCTATTCAAGGTATTTGAGGTCTTGGAACAGTGATACTTTCAACCTTGGAGCAATGCTTAGCTTCCACTTCCTCCTCCATTTCTATGTGTCAATTCTTTTCAGACTAGCCAATAGAATAAGATTTAGGTTAGACCACATAAAAAGGGAAAGCCACAATCACCACCTTCCTTAGAACATAAACCAAATGCAGTTCTAGTCTAGGTGGGCAACCTCTATGAAAACATTCTTTTGATTATAAGAAAAGTTTGTCTGTATATATACTTTAATAGGAGATCTCTTCGTTTCTGACCCTGAACTTATCTCACCAATTTGGGGGCTCAGTCTAGTAACTTAGCTCATCTGAAGTAGTACCTCAGAGGAGAACATAATTTCAGTAAACAGAGCTCCAAAGAGACAGAGCAAAGAAAGTAAACATTTCCTCCAAATACAGGAAGCCATCTCCTCTGGCTGATGTAGACACTGCCAACCCCCTGTAAATAAAGATGGAACAACAGCAGGCTCCTATGCTCATGTTTAAATTATTTTCTTCTTTCTGTGAGCATGTCATTATCCCATCTTTCCCTTACCTAGTTTCCTCAGAGAACTTGGGAAACCTTGGATCAAATTTGATGGAAAAGACAAAGGCAGGCTCTTGGTGTGAGTAACTCTGACTGCCTTACACAATGCTATTTAGCAGATGCTTTTTTATTTTATTTTATTTTATTTCTTTATTAAGAAATGTTCTACTCACTATACATACCACCCACAGATCCCAACTCCTCCCACCCCCAGTCCTCCCTCCCAAACCATCATACATCCCCACATTCCCCAAATCAAGATCTCCCATGGGGAGTCAGCAGAGCCTGGAACACTGAGCCTAGGGAGGTCCAAGCCCCTTCCCACTGCACCAAGGCATCACACTGCAGGCACTGGACTCCCAAAAGCCTGCCCATGCACCAGAGATAGATCCCTATCCTCCTGCCTGGGTGACCCCCAAACAGTTTGAGCTAAATAACTTTCTTCTTTATCCACAAGACCTAGTCCAGTCCCATGGGGGCTCCACAGCCACTAGTCTACAGTTCATGGGCTTCCACAAGTGTGGCCAGTCATCTCTGCATGCTTTCCCATCATGATCTTGACATCCCCCACCTACAGAATCATTTCTCTCTCTCATCAATTGGATTCCTAGAGCTCAGGCTTGTGCCTAGTCATGAATCTCTGCAACAGATGCTGTTTTAAATGGGTAGTAGTGTGACACAAGATTACAATGAACTATATTAACAAGTTGGTTTGCAAAAGTCTTAAGTTTCAGCCCACATGAAGGATCACAGATCCATCTGCTGTCAGCCAACACTGTGCTCATGTGGGTAAAATGGAGGCAAGCAACATGAATGGACATCAGCCCACTCAAACATTTGGCTTTTGTAGGACTTGTCTTTCTCCACATTCCCTTTGACTTGCTAAAAACCTTTAGATTGCAGTCTTCAAGCTAGTCACCAAGGTCTATTCCCTTATTTTACTACTTCCTATTTCTGAGGCTGACTACCAAAGCCCAGCAATCAAAAACCCCTTTGGTTCACTTAATTAACATGCCCAATTAAAATTAAACACTTCATCCTGATATGGGATTTTTCTCTTTACCTTTGTAAACCTCCATTTGCCTATGCGCCATGTCTGTTTCCACTCAATCCAGAGGCTATCCTTTTTCACTCTGGGATAAACACCCATTCCCCCTTTCTGTTGTCCCCTTCCCCTTCTCCCTTGTCCTTTACCACTGCATCATAGCCTATTCTAACACAGCCATCCCCCTTTCTTTCTCTTAAGTAAAATTACACCTGCAAGGTCTGAGTCAGAAAGAAGTCTATTACAGTCTGTGGAGCCCAGCTACAAGGGCTGCAGAACAGGGCTCAAAGAAAATGCCACAACCCCTCAATTGCAGGCCAGCAGGCAGGACTCCTGCACACAGGCCTAACTACCACCCCCCCCCACTGAACCCTGTAACCTATAGGCTCCACTCCATCCGACAAACCTACTCATCCTCCAAAACTACAATTGTTCCCTGAGACATAGACTCTCTCTACAAGCTCCAATTGGAATGAGAGGTGAGTCTTCGTTCTCCTAGCTGATCACCCCAGCCTCTAGGTTTTAGGTCCAGGAGCATAACCAGTGCCTTCATACTCACACCCGTAGCAGCCCCAGTTGCAAGCCAGCAGGCAGGACTTCTGCAGGCAGACATGACTACCACCGTCACACACTGGACCCTGTAACTTACAAGCCCCACTCCACTCCACAAACCCACCTGGCCTCCAAGATCTCAGGGGTTCTCTGAAACAAAAACACTTTCAGGGCCAATTGGACTAAGAGCAGCTCACTGAGACATAGACACCACTTACACTGATTGGAGGAAGAGATGGGTAGATGCCAGTTCAAGAATATATTCAACAACATAAAGAGCACTATGG